AGATGGAGTCTCTCCATGTGTCTCCCAGGCTGGAGTGCAATGGTGTAATCTCAGCTCACCACAACCTCCACCTCCCAGGTTCAAGAGATTCTCCTGTCTCAGCCTCCCCAAGTAGCTGGGACTACAGGCGTGCCACCATACCCGGCTAATTTTTATACTTTTAGTAGAGATAGGGTTTCAGCACGTTGGTCAGGCTGGTCTCAAACTCCTGACCTTGTGATCTGCCCACCTCAGCCTCTCAAAGTGCTAGGATTACAGGTGTGAGCTGTTGTGCCTGGCCGGAACTGTGGCTCTTTTTTTGTCCCCCCAATGAAGCAATTTATTAATCCAGCATGGTTTGTTCTACTGCTTCTTGTTGGCAGCTGCCACCTGTCCAGTGATTCTGTCCAGATCTCTCTGTCCCTGTGGTATCAGTTTGCGGCCCCCATCTTGGTCCTTTTCCACCATTATCAGCCCCTCCGGGGCTTGGAGGACTCGGCGGGCAACACTCTTGGAGCCTCGGCTGAAGGGGCTGGGCATGACACCATTTCCTTGATGTCCCCGTAGATCTTGGTCATGGAGCCAACTCCAGTGCCACCCCGGAGGTGCAGGTGCCGCGCCGTGGAAGCAGCTCGCGTGAAGCAGTTCTCACCGTAGGGAGCAAGCACTTCGTGCTTGGCCAGCTTGACGGTGTCCACCCATTCAGGGACTTTCAGCTTCCCAGACTTTTTGAGAAAGGCTTCCAGAGCTCTAAGGAACTCCTGCTGGTTCACGTCTTTTTTTTTTTTTTCCAGTCTCCATTTTTCTTATTTTATTTTCTTTATGTTTATCAGAGTACATGGTCCCAGAACATTCACTCTATTATCATGAATAATTCAGCATCTTAGAAGGAACCCTCCAAGCAGGACAGATTAAGGCAGCCTGGTGTAGACATAATTGCATCTATGGCCAGAAGGAATATGCAACAGAAAATCAGATTCCAATGAAGCAAAGGCTGCTTTGTTTTTTTTTTTTTTTTTTGAGACGGAGTCTAGCTCTGTTGCCCAGGTTGGAGTACAGTTGCACGATCTCAGCTCTGCAAACTCCGCCTCCTGGGTTCAAGCAATTCTCCTGCCTCAGCCTCCCGAGTAGCTGGGAATACAGTTACCCACCACCACACCTGGCTAAATGTTGTATTTTTATCAGAGACGGAGTTTCACCATTTTGGCCAGGCTGGTCTCAAACCCCTGACCTCGTGATCCACCTGCCTCGGCTTCCCGAAGTGTTGGGATCACAGGTGTGAGCCACTGCGGCTGGCCTGCTTGGTTAACTTTATTCTTCCAACTTTACCAGCTGCATTCTCAGTCATTTAAAGGATATAGGAATGGAAACCAAAACAGACCATCTGGGGGTCAGGGATGCCATGTTTCTACTGGGGCAATTTTATGGGGCACTGTGCCTTGCAAATGACATGAGTGGAAGACAAAGGATTCTCCATATTATCCAGGGTAGGAGTCCATTCGACTGGAACACTGTGCACTTTGGAAGACCTAAAACTAGCCCCTAATGCTGGGACTCAGCCAGCTAACCAAGGGATCATTGTTCACCTGCCACCCAGGGTTGGCATCAGGACAGGAGAAAGCAGGCCTGCAAGCTGGAGGCAGCCACCGGGCCGTCAATGCAGACAAAGTGATGACCTCTCAAGTCTTCGCAGAGCCACATATGGGGACCACACATCACCGTCTTCACTCCTGCAGGGTCTGCAGTCTGTCCTTCTGGAGCACCTCCTTATCCCTCCTGCTCTAAAAGCCTCTGGCGTGTCTCCATCACAATCCCCTCCATTATTTCTGGCTTTAAGATGTCTTTGATCTGGTGTGGAAGGGATGCTTCGTAGCAGTACAGGATGCTGGTATCGTACAGCATCATCCTTTGAGTTACCAGCAAGACAATGCAGTTCCGAAGCCGGGAAATCACCTCCCGATCAGCAAGAGAGGCTCCAGGTTTGCCACGAAGCCCCTTGCTTCCTCTTCTTTGTGCTCAGGTGTTGGGCAATCCAGATGAAACCATTGTTGCCCAGAATCACTGAGCCTGAAATATGGAAAACTAGGTCAGGGGGTTTTGGTCCAGGTTTCCCCCTCCCTGGTGAAATGGCAGAAGACCCACTTTCATGACTTGCCGTGTGGTGCTTCAGGCAGGTGCTTGTGTGAGTGTGTAATGTAGAAGCCTGTGTGTGTGTGTGCCCTCATACACCATGGGGTAGAAGAGGAAGAATAACCACAGGGTTGATAAAATCTCTCAGGAAATAAGCTGTAAGTTATTTGTCTCTCTTTTCTCTGTTTCATTAAAAAGACTGTCAAACACAAGCCATGTTGGTTTTAAAACCCAGAGTTCCGGGAACAAAAAATTGGCACTGGGGTCTAAGGAAAAGCTGACACCATTCTCGAGATCAGCAGAAGGCAGTCATAGACCTGGCTCCTGGCTGGGTACCGGAACTGGCAGTGGGGAGTACCCACCTTCTCCTTCTTGGTGAACCTGGAAAGAGGCTTCATTGAGTGTAGCTGAGAAAGCCACTGCCAGAGCCCAGTAGCAACAGACAGCAGGCGGAGAAAATGAGTAATCTTAGAAGTAGATGGATAACCGGGCACAGTGGCTCATGCATATAATCCCAGCACTTTGGGAGGCCGAGGCGGGCAGATCACTTGAGTTCAAGACCAGCCTGGCCAACATAGTGAAACTCCATCTCTACTAAAAATTCAAAAATTAGCTGAGCATAGTGGTTGGCGCCTGTAACCCCAGTTATTCAGGAAGCTGAGGGAGGAGAATTGCTTGAACCTGGGAGGCAGAGGTTGCACTGAGCCGAGATCATGCCATTGCACTCCGGCCTGGGCACCAAGAGTGAAACTCCGTTTCAAAAAATAAAAATAAAATAGATGAATGGAGTAGAAATTGCTAAAAACATCATGACTGAGCACAAGCAGAGACAAGGTTTAGCACCACTGATTTTATTATAAAATGCTGCTTAGAATGATTGACCGGAGGCAACGATTTTTCTGTAACTCTCACCATGGGTTGCATTTTATTAAAGAATCAAAATGTGGGAAGTTTGAAGAGAAACCTGGCATGTATTGGGAGCAGGTGTGGTGCTTCCCCCTCCCCTTTCTTGGTGCCTGAACAAATTCTTCCTATTTAAAAAATTCCCATTGCCCAGATGGTGATCTACAGGATAGGTACAATCCCGCACACAAACCATTTAATCACTAAAACGTGGCCTGCAAATTCAGACTTCGGAGCTATAAATATATAGCTGAAATACACACCAAGCCACGGATGAAGCCAACGCTTCCTTCATCCAATGTTAAGCAGGTTTCCAGATGTCGGCTGTAGCTGCTTTCCCGGTCTGGATGTTTCCTTCCAGCCTCTGCCTCTGCTTTTCCCACTGGCCTCCATTCTGCAATGGGTCTTCCCCTGGGCCTGGGCCATGCGCCTCTTCTCTTCTGAGACACCTCCCACCCCCCAGCGCTCTCTGTCCTGAGCCTCTTTCCTTCCTGTGGTTTCACTGTCACTGTTCATCTCATTCCACCCACATGTCCAAGATTTCCCTCCTCAGAAGCTTCAGCTCTTCCCGGCAACCCAGGAATTATGTTTCATTACAGCCTCACACAAAATACAGCCTTTCAATTACTAAACCTTCTAATTCTCAGTGAGTCTTTCCTGGAACCCCTAAATCACAGTCCGCAGCCATGGTCCCCCTCGCCCTTTCATCTCCACCCCAACTTTTGGGGTGCACATCCCAACTGTGCTCTGCTTGTTTGTTCTTAATCTGCATGAAGATAGCTGCCTCCATGTGAATTCTACCTAATTAGAGCTATGAGGTTTTCCTCAAATATGGAAATCTTGTAACTATTTCAGAACTGACATGTGGGTGCACTCTCCCATATGTTTACCATATTGTTGATATTCATGGGACTAAACATTTTCAGTCACTCCTTAGATGAAAAATTTCAAAATGCATCTGTCAAAGAGAAATTGTTCATAACCAACATGAAGCTACAGGTGTGTAATGAGGACGAAGCGCCTGTGAATGGAGCCTCCAGCCCCAGCAATCACACAGGCAGGTCACCCACAGTGTGCCGAGGGCCTCTTCCTTCAGTCTGCTATTCCAGCTCAGATGAAATAACTCACTGGGGTAACTGCCTCCATTCAAGTGGAGGCTGGAGGCTGGCAGACACTTTGTGTGGAGAGAGTGCATCTGCCTGAGGAGGCTCGTCAGGCTGGGAAGGCAGGATCCTCCAGAAGAGATGGCAGCTTCCAGAGAGGCCTCTGTGTGGATCTTCTGATGCGCAGAAAGAGGTCTCTGTAGCCATTCTGCCAATTCCCATTCTGAAAAAAAGCTGACACTGTCAAGATTCATCTTCATGGTACGAGAAGAGGTAGAATCTGATGGCTATGCTCACGGCCATTGGTGGCATAAAAGCATGGAGCCAGGGCAGGTGGTTTTTGGCATTGGCTGCTGCACTCTACGTTAGCCTGGGGGCAGCACAGATGTGGGCCACAGGTGTGCAGGTGCTGTAATTAAAAAACTACAGAAAGATGGTGGAGGTAGAGGACTGATTGAGAAATGTCTGCTCCCAGCTCAGCTTCTCTCAGAGCCGCCAGGAGTTGGTGCTCCTGGGGGCAGCCGGCTCAGTCAGGAAAGGGCTGAAACAAACCCCGAGCCTCTGTGGGTCTCCTTGCTGGCTCCACAGCTGCCGCTGGACCCCCTTCTACTCCCTTCATAAGAAGTTGGGGACCTCATGGGAATCTCTTCCTGTCTCTCTGCTCACAAGGCACCACTGGCAGCCACTAGGCTCACAGTGACTATTTTAAAAATCAATGAGCACAAGCTCCACCCATGGCTGAATACAGGATGTTCCCCCACCCCAGAAGGCCCCCTCAACCCCTCCCAGTTAACACCCTCCAAAGGCTAACCCTCTGTGGGTTAGAATAGCATATGAGGAGTCACACCTGGTACGCCCTGGGGTGTGAGCTGGTCCTCCAGGAAGCAGATGCCCAGACAGATAGGACTGCAAATGTTTATTAAGGGAGACATTATGGAAATGACAGGGGGAGGAGACAGCACCAGCATGGAGTGTAAAACATGTTGGAAACTTTGCAAAGATATCACGGCTCAGGAGAGTCTTCTAATTTTGAAATTATCCTGTAAGATAAAAAGATTTTGGGTTATTTCCAGGTGATCCTTTTTTGTTTCCCCCCAATGTATATTTTGTCTGCTATGAAATAACTCTACCCCTGCTGAATACTTCTATGAGTGGCTGCATCTGTGTCTGGCATGTCATGGAGAATAATTACCTACAGATCACAGATACAGATCTCAGAGGTTAACTGTGTATGCATTCCTCTGATCTCTTCATCCCATAAGGACCTGAATTTTAATCTTGGAGACAAGTACTTTCCCCTATCTTTTGTAACAGAGATTGGAAATCACAGGCCTGAGCTTTTACAACCCAATGTTTATTGAATGAACTTCAGGGAATCTTTTGCTGATCTTCTGAGTGGGAATATTTTCATTTAACCAACCAGAAGAGGGAGGGTCTAACACCTGGCAGCTATTTTGCAAGATGCTTTCTTCATAGGCTTCATCTCTTAGTCCTCAAAATGACCTCATAAGCACATACTTCTCAGCTCATTTATTAGGAAGCTGGGGCTCTGAGTCCCACTGAGAGGTGGTGACCGGACTCAGGCAGCAGAGACACAGGGAAGGGGGAATACTTTGCATGCCAAGCTTGGAAGATGGAAAGCTGGGAGTCACGGGTGGGAAGGAGAGGGTGCTGGGGATGAGATGATGCCACAGCAGCCCAAGATGGGCCTTGATTTCCCTGCCAAAGGTGGCCTCGCTTTAAAGGCCAATGCCAGAGCTCCACTGAACCTGGCACATTCTCATTATTAGTTTCTTTGGCCCCTAAAAAGGTCCCGAGGGACAGACACCTGCAAGTGGAAAATGAGATCGTGAGGGACAAAAGCTACAGTAGCTGAAGGGCTACACAGCAGACACCTGCAAGACGAGCACGAAGACCCAGAAAAGGGACAGCTTAAGAAGGTTGTCGAAGTTCCAGGAGATACTCACATTCAGGTGATGATTGAGGGTCCCAGTGGGCACTGTAGTATAACATGTTGTTGAACTTCCAGGGCACACTCACCTTCAGGAGGTGCTTGAGGTCCCACTGGACACTGTCGTATAAGAGGTTGTTGGACTTCCTGGGGACACTCACGTTCTAGAGGTGGTTGAAGTCCCAATTGACATTGTAGTATAGGTGGTTGTTGATCTTCCAGGAGACACTCACGTTCAAGAGGTGTTTGAGGTCCCTGTGGATACTGTATTATAGGAGGTTGTTGAACTTCCAAAGGACACTCACGTTGTGGTGATGGTTGATGTCCCAGGGGGCACTGTAATATTAAAGGATGTTGGACTTCCTGGGGACACTCATGTTCAAGAGGTGGCTGAGGTCCCGGTTGACATTGTAGTATAGGTGATTGTTGATCTTCCAGGGGACACTCACGTTCTAGAGGTGGTTGAGGTCCCAGTTTACACTGAATTATAGGATGTTGTCGATCTTCCAGGGGACACTCACAATCTGGAGTTGGTTGATGTCCGAGTGGGCACTGTAGTATTGGAGGTTGTTGGAATTCCTGGGGACACTCATGTTCTGGAGGTGGTTGATATTCCAGTGGGCCCTGCACTACAGGACCTGTTTGAGGGCCCAGCAAACACTCGAGTACACGAGGTGATGGAGGTTCCACATAACCTTCTGGAGGTGCTTGAGGTCCCTGTGGAAACCCGAGTGGAGGCTGTGACTCACGTTCCAGAAAATCGTCACCTTCAGGAGGTGGTAGAGGTTCTGGAGGACAGGTCAGTAGATATGTTAGAATTCCTACCAAACAATCAGCTGGAGTTGGTCGTTCGGGTCCCAGAAAGCACTCTATTAGACAAGGTACCAGGGGTGGCAGCAATGCTTCAGTTGGACAAGGTGCTTCAGCTTCCAGAGGACACTCAAGTAACGGTAGTGTCTGAGGTCCCGGAGAATTACCAGATAAAAATGGTTGTGGTTCTGGTGAGCACTCAAGTTCACGAGGTGGTTGAGGTCCCAGTTCACACTGAATTATAGGATGTTGTCGATCTTCCAGGGGACACTCACGTTCTGGAGATGGCTGATGTTCCAGTGGGCACTGCAGTGTTGGAGGTTCTTGGATTTCCTGGGGACACTCATGTTCTAGAGGTGGTCGAGGTCCCAGTTCACACTGAATTATACGATGTTGTTGATCTTCCCGGGGACACTCATGTTCTAGAAATGGTTGATGTCCCAGTGGGCACTGCAGGATTGGAGGCTGTTGGACTTCCTGGGGACACTTATGTTCTAGAGGTGGTTGAGGTCCCGGTTGACATTGTATTATAGGTGGTTGTCGATCTTCCAGGGGACACTTAAGTTCTGGAGATGGTTGATGTCTCAGTGGGCACTGTAGTATTGGAGGTTGTTGGACTTCCTGGGGAAACTCATGTTCAAAAGGTGGTTGAGGTCCTGGTTGACATTGTAGTATAGGTGGTTGTTGATCTTCCAGGAAACACTCACGTTCAAGAGGTGTTTGAGGTCCCAGTTCACACTGAATTATAGGAGGTTGTCGATCTTCCAGGGGACACTCATGTTCTGGAGATGGTTGATGTCCCAGTGGGCACTGTAGTATTGGAGGTTGTTGGACTTCCTGGGGACACTCACATTCAAGAGGTGGTTGAGGTCCCGGTTGACATTGTAGTATAGGTGATTGTTGATCTTCCAGGGGACACTCATGTTTAAGAGGTGGTTGATGTCCCTGTAAATACTGTATTATAGAAGGTTGTTGAACTTCCATGGGACACTCATGTTCTGGAAATGGTTGATGTTCCCGTGGGCCCTGTAGTATTGTAGGTTGTTGGACTTCCTGGGGACACTCAAGTTCTAGAGGTGGTTGAGGTCCCAGTTCACACTGAATTATAGGAGGTTGTCGATCTTCCAGGGGACACTCACGTTCTGGAGGTGGCTGATATTCCAGTGGGCCCTGCACTACAGGACCTGTTTGAGGGCCCAGCAAACACTCGAGTACACGAGGTGATGGAGGTTCCACATAACCTTCTTCTGGAGGTGCTTGAGGTCCCAGTGGAAATCCGAGTGGAGGCTGTGACTCACATTCCAGAAAATCGTCACCTTCAGGAGGTGGTAGAGGTTCTGGAGGACAGGTCAGTAGATATGTTAGAATTCCTACCAAACAGTCAGCTGGAGTTGGTCGTTCTGGTCCCAGAAAGCACTCTATTAGACAAGGTACCAGGGGTGGCAGCAATGCTTCAGTTGGACAAGGTGCTTCAGCTTCCAGAGGACACTCAAGTATCGGTAGTGTCTGAGGTCCCGGAGAGTTTTCAGATAAAAATGGTTGTGGTTCTGGTGAACACTCAAGTTCACGAGGTGGTTGAGGTCCCAGTTCACACTGAATTATAGGATGCTGTTGATCTTCCAGGGGACACTCACGTTCTGAAGATGGTTGATGTCCCAGTGGGCACTGTAGTATTGGAGGTGGTTGTACTTCCTGGGGACACTCATGTTCTAGAGGTGGCTGAGGTCCCAGTTCATACTGAATTATACGATGTTGTCGTTCTTCCAGGGGACTCTCAGGTTCTGGAGATGCTTGATGTCCCAGTGGGCACTGCAGTATTGGAGGTTGTTGGACTTCCTGGGGACACTCATGTTCTAGAGGTGGTTGAGGTCCTAGTTCACATTGAATTACAGGATGTTGTCGATCATCCAGGGGACACTCACATTCTGGAGATGGTTGATGTCCCAGTGGGCACTGCAGGATTGGAGGTTGTTGTACTTCCTGGGGACACTCATGTTCAAGAGGTGGTTGAGGTCCCGGTTCACATTGTAGTATAGGTGGTTGTTGGTCTTCCAGGAGACACTTACGTTCACGAGGTGGTTGAGGTCCCGGTTGACATTGTATTATAGGTGGTTGTCGATCTTCCAGGGGACACTTACGTTCCGGAGATGGTTGATGTCCCAGTGGGTCCTGTAGTAGTGGAGGTTGTTGGACTTCCCGGGGACACTCACGTTCTAGAGGTGTTTGAGGTCCCAGTTCACACTGAATTATAAGATGTTGTCGATCTTCCAGGGGACACTCACAATCTGGAGTTGGTTGATGTCCGAGTGGGCACTGTAGTATTGGAGGTTCTTGGACTTCCTGGGGACACTCACGTTCTAGAGGTGGTTGAGGTCCCAATTGACATTGTAGTATAGGTGGTTGTTGATCTTCCAGGAGACACTCACGTTCAAGAGGTGTTTGAGGTCCCTGTGGATACTGTATTATAGGAGGTTGTTGAACTTCCAAAGGACACTCACGTTGTGGTGATGGTTGATGTCCCAGGGGGCACTGTAATATTAAAGGATGTTGGACTTCCTGGGGACACTCATGTTCAAGAGGTGGCTGAGGTCCCGGTTGACATCGTAGTATAGGTGATTGTTGATCTTCCAGGGGACACTCACGTTCTAGAGGTGGTTGAGGTCCCAGTTTACACTGAATTATAGGATGTTGTTGATCTTCAAGGGGACACTCACGTTCTGGAGGTGGTTGAGGTCTCAGTTCACACTGAGTTATAGGATGTTGTCTATCTTCCAGGGGACACTCACGTTCTGGAGGTGGTTGATATTCCAGTGGGTACTCCACTACAGGACCTGTTTGAGGACCCAGCAAACACTCGAGTACACGAGGTGATGGAGGTTCCACATAACCTTCTTCTGGAGGTGCTTGAGGTCCCAATGGAAACCCGAGAGGAGGCTGTGACTCACATTCCAGAAAATCGTCACCTTCAGGAGGTGGTAGAGGTTCTGGAGGACAGGTCAGTAGATATGTTAGGATTCCTACCAAACAATCAGCTGGAGTTGGTCGTTCGGGTCCCAGAAAGCACTCTATTAGACAAGGTACCAGGGGTGGCAGCAATGCTTCAGTTGGACAAGGTGCTTCAGCTTCCAGAGGACACTCAAGTATCGGTAGTGTCTGAGGTCCCGGAGAATTCTCAGATAAAAATGGTTGTGGTTCTGGTGAACACTCAAGTTCACGAGGTGGTTGAGGTCCCAGTTCACACTGAATTATAGGATGTTGTCGATCTTCCAGGGGACACTCACGTTCTGGAGATGGCTGATGTTCCAGTGGGCACTGCAGTGTTGGAGGTTCTTGGATTTCCTGGGGACACTCATGTTCTAGAGGTGGTCGAGGTCCCAGTTCACATTGAATTATACGATGATGTTGATCTTCCCGGGGACACTCATGTTCTGGAAATGGTTGATGTGCCAGTGGGCAATGCAGGATTGGAGGCTGTTGGACTTCCTGGGGACACTTATGTTCTAGAGGTGGTTGAGGTCCCGGTTGACATTGTATTATAGGTGGTTGTCGATCTTCCAGGGGACACTTAACTTCTGGAGATGGTTGATGTCCCAGTGGGCACTGTAGTATTGGAGGTTGTTGGACTTCCTGGGGACACTCACATTCAAGAGGTGGTTGAGGTCCCGGTTGACATTGTAGTATAGGTGATTGTTGATCTTCCAGGGGACACTCATGTTTAAGAGGTGGTTGATGTCCCTGTAAATACTGTATTATAGAAGGTTGTTGAACTTCCATGGGACACTCATGTTCTGGAAATGGTTGATGTCCCCGTGGGCCCTGTAGTATTGTAGGTTGTTGGACTTCCTGGGGACACTCACGTTCTAGAGGTGGTTGAGGTCCCAGTTTACACTGAATTATAGGATGTTGTCGATCTTCCAGGGGACACTCACGTTCTGGAGGTGGTTGATATTCCAGTGGGCCCTGCACTACAGGACCTGTTTGAGGGCCCAGCAAACACTCGAGTAAATGAGGTGATGGAGGTTCCACATAAACTTCTTCTGGAGGTGCTTGAGGTCCCAGTGGAAATCCGAGTGGAGGCGGTGACTCACGTTCCAGAAAATCGTCACCTTCAGGAGGTGGTAGAGGTTCTGGAGGACAGGTCAGTAGATATGTTAAACAATCAGCTGGAGTTGGTCGTTCGGATCCTAGAAAGCACTGTATTAGACAAGGTACTAGGGGTGGCAGCAATGCTTCAGTTGGACAAGGTGCTTCAGCTTCCAGAGGACACTCAAGTATCGGTAGTGTCTGAGGTCCCGGAGAGTTCTCAGATAAAAATGGTTGTGGTTCTGGTGAACACTCAAGTTCATGAGGTGGTTGAGGTCCCAGTTCACACTGAATTATAGGATGCTGTTGATCTTCCAGGGGACACTCACATTCTTGAGATGGTTGATGTCCAAGTGGGCACTGTAGTAGTGGAAGTTGTTGAACTTCCTGGGGACACTCATGTTCTAGAGGTGGTTGAGGTCCCAGTTCACATTGAATTATACGATGTTGTCGATCTTCCCGGGGACACTCACGTTCTGGAAATGGTTGATGCCCAAGTGGGCACTGCAGGATTGGAGGTTGTTGGACTTCCTGGGGACACTCATGTTCAAGAGGTGGTTGAGGTCCCGGTTCACATTGTAGTATAGGTGGTTGTTGATCTTCCAGGAGACACTTACGTTCAAGAGGTGGTGGAGGTCCCGGTTGACATTGTATTATAGGTGGTTGTCGATCTTCCACGGGACACTTACGTTCCGGAGATGGTTGATGTCCCAGTGGGTCCTGTAGTAGTGGAGGTTGTTGGACTTCCCGGGGACACTCACATTCTAGAGGTGGTTGAGGTCCCAGTTCACACTGAATTATAAGATATTGTCGATCTTCCAGGGGACACTCACAATCTGGAGTTGGTTGATGTCCGAGTGGGCACTGTAGTATTGGAGGTTGTTGGACTTCCTGGGGACACTCACGTTCTAGAGGTGGTTGAGGTCCCAATTGACATTGTAGTATAGGTGGTTGTCGATCTTCCAGGGGACACTCACATTCTGGAGGTGGTTGATATTCCAGTGGGCACTCCACTACAGGACAAGTTTCAGGGCCCAGCAAACACTCGAGTACACGAGGTGATGGAGGTTCCACATAACCTTCTTCTGGAGGTGCTTGAGGTCCCAATGGAAACTCGAGTGGAGGCTGTGACTCATGTTCCAGAAAATCATCACCTTCAGGAGGTGGTAGAGGTTCTGGAGGACAGGTCAGTAGATATGTTAGGATTCCTACCAAACAATCAGCTGGAGTTGGTCGTTCGGGTCCCAGAAAGCACTCTATTAGACAAGGTACCAGGGGTGGCAGCAATGCTTCAGTTGGACAAGATGCTTCAGCTTCCAGAGGACACTCAAGTATCGGTAGTGTCTGAGGTCCCGGAGAATTACCAGATAAAAATGGTTGTGGTTCTGGTGAGCACTCAAGTTCACGAGGTGGTTGAGGTCCCAGTTCACACTGAATTATAGGATGTTGTCGATCTTCCAAGGGACACTCACGTTCTGGAGATGGCTGATGTTCCAGTGGGCACTGCAGTATTGGAGGTTCTTGGATTTCCTGGGGACACTCATGTTCTAGAGGTGGTCGAGGTCCCAGTTCACATTGAATTTTACGATGTTGTTGATCTTCCCGGGGACACTCATGTTCTAGAAATGGTTGATGTCCCAGTGGGCACTGCAGGATTGGAGGCTGTTGGACTTCCTGGGGACACTCATGTTCTAGAGGTGGTTGAGGTCCCGCTTGACATTGTATTATAGGTGGTTGTCGATTTTCCAGGGGACACTTAAGTTCTGGAGGTGGTTGATGTCTCAGTGGGCACTGTAGTATTGGAGGTTGTTGGACTTCCTGGGGAAACTCATGTTCAAAAGGTGGTTGAGGTCCCGTTTGACATTGTAGTATAGGTGGTTGTTGATCTTCCAGGAGACACTCACGTTCAAGAGGTGTTTGAGGTCCCAGTTCACACTGAATTATAGGAGGTTGTCGATCTTCCAGGGGACACTCACGTTCTGGAGATGGTTGATGTCCCAGTGGGCACTGTAGTATTGGAGGTTGTTGGACTTCCTGGGGACACTCACATTCAAGAGGTGTTTGTGGTCCCTGTGGATACTGTATTATAGGAGGTTGTTGAACTTCCACAGGATACTCACGTTCTGGTGATGGTTGATGTCTCAGTGGGCACTGTAGTATTGGAGGTTGTTGGACTTCCTGGGGACACTCACATTCAAGAGGTGGTTGAGGTCCCGGTTGAAATTGTAGTATAGGTGATTGTTGATCTTCCAGGGGACACTCATGTTTAAGAGGTGGTTGATGTCCCTGTAAATACTGTATTATAGAAGGTTGTTGAACTTCCATGGGACACTCATGTTCTGGAAATGGTTGATGTCCCCGTGGGCCCTGTAGTATTGTAGGTTGTTGGACTTCCTGGGGACACTCACGTTCTAGAGGTGGTTGAGGTCCCAGTTCACACTGAATTATAGGAGGTTGTCGATCTTCCAGGGGACACTCTCGTTCTGGAGGTGGTTGATATTCCAGTGGGCACTCCACTGCAGGACCTGTTTGAGGGCCCAGCAAACACTCAAGTACACGAGGTGATGGAGGTTCCACATAACCTTCTTCTGGAGGTGCTTGAGGTCCCAGTGGAAACCCGAGTGGAGGCTGTGACTCACGTTCCAGGAAATCGTCACCTTCAGGAGGTGGTAGAGGTTCTGGAGGACAGGTCAGTAGATATGTTAGGATTCCTACCAAACAATCAGCTGGAGTTGGTCGTTCGGGTCCCAGAAAGCACTCTATTAGACAAGGTACCAGGGGTGGCAGCAATGCTTCAGTTGGACAAGGTGCTTCAGCATCCAGAGGGCACTCAAGTATCGGTAGTGTCTGAGGTCCCGGAGAATTCTCAGATAAAAATGGTTGTGGTTCTGGTGAACACTCAAGTTCACGAGGTGGTTGAGGTCCCAGTTCACACTGAATTATAGGATGTTGTCGATCGTCCAGGGGACACTCACTTTCTGGAGATGGTTGATGTTCCAGTGGGCACTGCAGTATTGGAGGTTGTTGGACTTCCTGGGGACACTCATGTTCTAGAGGTGGTTGAGGTCCTAGTTCACATTGAATTACAGGATGTTGTCGATCTTCCAGGGGACTCTCACATTCTGGAGATGGTTGATGTCCCAGTGGGCATTGTAGTATTGGAAATTGTTGAACTTCCTGGGGACACTCATGTTCTAGAGGTGGTTGAGGTCCCAGTTCACATTGAATTATACAATGTTGTTGATCTTCCTGGGGACACTCACATTCTGGAAATGGTTGATGTCCCAGTGGGCACTGCAGGATTGGAGGTTGTTGGACTTCCTGGGGACACTCATGTTCTAGAGGTGGTTGAGGTCCCGGTTGACATTGTAGTATAGGTGGTTGTCGATCTTCCAGGGGACACTGAAGTTCTGGAGATGGTTGATGTCTCAGTGGGCACCGTAGTATTGGAGGTTGTTGGACTTCCTGGGGAAACTCATGTTCAAAAGGTGGTTGAGGTCCCGGTTGACATTGTAGTATAGGTGGTTGTTGATCTTCCAGGAGACACTCACATTCAAGAGGTGGCTGAGGTCCCGGTTGACAGTGTAGTATAGGTGATTGTTGATCTTTCAGGGGACACTCACGTTTAAGAGGTGGTTGAGGTCCCTGTGGATACTGCATTATAGGAGGTTGTTGAACTTTCATGGGACACTCACGTTCTGGAGATGGTTGTTGTCCCAGTGGGCACTGTGTTATTGGAGGTTGTTTGACTTCCTGGGGAAACTCATGTTCAAAAGGTGGTTGAGGTCCCGGTTGACATTGTAGTATAGGTGGTTGTTGATCTTCCAGGAGACACTCATGTTCAAGAGGTGTTTGAGGTGCCAGTTCACACTGAATTATAGGAGGTTGTCGATCTTCCAGGGGACACTCACGTTCTGGAGGTGGTTGATATTCCAGTGGGCCCTGCACTACAGGACCTATTTGAGGGCCCAGCAAACACTCGAGTACACGAAGTGATGGAGGTTCCACATAACCTTCTTCTGGAGGTGCTTGAGGTCCCAGTGGAAACCCGAGTGGAGGCTGTGACTCACGTTCCAGAAAATCGTCACCTTCAGGAGGTGGTAGAGGTTCTGGAGGACAGGTCAGTAGATATGTTAGGATTCCTACCAAACAATCAGCTGGAGTTGGTCGTTCGGGTCCCAGAAAGCACTCTATTAGACAAGGTACCAGGGGTGGCAGCAATGCTTCAGTTGGACAAGGTGCTTCAGCATCCAGAGGACACTCAAGTATCGGTAGTGTCTGAAGTCCCGGAGCATTCTCAGATAAAAATGGTTGTGGTTCTGGTGAACACTCAAGTTCATGACGTGGTTGAGGTCCCAGTTCACACTGAATTATAGGATGTTGTCGATCTTCCAGGGGACACTCACTTTCTGGAGATGGTTGATGTTCCAGTGGGCACTGCAGTATTGGAGGTTGTTGGACTTCCTGGGGACACTCATGTTCTAGAGGTGGTTGAGGTCCTAGTTCACATTGAATTACAGGATGTTGTCGATCTTCCAGGGGACTCTCACATTCTGGAGATGGTTGATGTCCCAGTGGGCACTGTAGTATTGGAAATTGTTGAACTTCCTGGGGACACTCATGTTCTAGAGGTGGTTGAGATCCCAGTTCACATTGAATTATACAATGTTGTTGATCTTCCTGGGGACACTCACATTCTGGAAATGGTTGATGTCCCAGTGGGCACTGCAGGATTGGAGGTTGTTGGACTTCCTGGGGACACTCATGTTCTAGAGGTGGTTGAGGTCCCGGTTGACATTGTAGTATAGGTGGTTGTCGATCTTCCAGGGGACACTTAAGTTCTGGAGATGGTTGATGTCTCAGTGGGCACTGTAGTATTGGAGGTTGTTGGACTTCCTGGGGAAACTCATGTTCAAAAGGTGGTTGGGGTCCCGGTTGACATTGTAGTATAGGTGGTTGTTGATCTTCCAGGAGACACTCACATTCAAGAGGTGGCTGAGGTCCCGGTTGACAGTGTAGTATAGGTGATTGTTGATCTTTCAGGGGACACTCACGTTTAAGAGGTGGTTGAGGTCCCTGTGGATACTGCATTATAGGAGGTTGTTGAACTTTCATGGGACACTCACGTTCTGGAGATGGTTGTTGTCCCAGTGGGCACTGTGTTATTGGAGGTTGTTGGACTTCCTGGGGAAACTCATGTTCAAGAGGTGTTTGAGGTCCCAGTTCACACTGAATTATAGGAGGTTGTCGATCTTCCAGGGGACACTCACGTTCTGGAGGTGGTTGATATTCCAGTGGGCCCTGCACTACAGGACCTATTTGAGGGCCCAGCAAACACTCGAGTACACGAAGTGATGGAGGTTCCACATACCCTTCTTCTGGAGGTGCTTGAGGTCCCAGTGGAAACCCGAGTGGAGGCTGTGACTCACGTTCCAGAAAATCGTCACCTTCAGGAGGTGGTAGAGGTTCTGGAGGACAGGTCAGTAGATATGTTAGGATTCCTACCAAACAATCAGCTGGAGTTGGTCGTTCGGGTCCCAGAAAGCACTCTATTAGACAAGGTACCAGGGGTGGCAGCAATGCTTCAGTTGGACAAGGTGCTTCAGCATCCAGAGGACACTCAAGTATCGGTAGTGTCTGAGGTCCCGGAGAATTCTCAGATAAAAATGGTTGTGGTTCTGGTGAACACTCAAGTTCACGAGGTGGTTGAGGTCCCAGTTCACACTGAATTATAGGATGTTGTCGATCTTCCAGGGGACACTCACTTTCTGGAGATGGTTGATGTCCCAGTGGGCACTGCAGTATTGGAGGTTGTTGGACTTCCTGGGGACACTTATGTTCTAGAGGTGGTTGAGGTCCTAGTTCACATTGAATTACAGGATGTTGTCGATCTTCCAGGGGACTCTCACATTCTGGAGACAGTTGATGTCCCAGTGGGCACTGTAGTATTGGAAATTGTTGAACTTCCTGGGGACACTCATGTTCTAGAGGTGGTTGAGGTCCCAGTTCACATTGAATTATACAATATTGTTGATCTTCCCGGGGACACTCACGTTCTGGAAATGGTTGATGTCCCAGTGGGCACTGCAGGATTGGAGGTTGTTGGACTTCCTGGGGACACTCATGTTCTAGAGGTGGTTGAGGTCCCGGTTGACATTGTATTATAGGTCCTTGTCGATCTTCTAGGGGACACTTAACTTCTGGAGATGGTTGATGTCTCAGTGGACACTGTAGTATTGGAGGTTGTTGGACTTCCTGGGGAAACTCATGTTCAAAAGGTGGTTGAGGTCCCGGTTGACATTGTAGTATAGGTGGTTGTTGATCTTCCAGGAGACACTCACGTTCAAGAGGTGTTTGAGGTCCCTGTGGATACTGTATTATAGGATGTTGTTGATCTTCCAGGGGACACTCACGTTCTGGAGGTGGTTGATATTCCAGTGGGCACTCCACTGCAGGACCTGTTTGAGGGCCCAGCAAACACTCGAGTACACGAGGTGATGGAGGTTCCACATAACCTTCTTCTGGAGGTTGTTGAGGTCCCAGTGGAAACCCGAGTGGAGGCTGTGACTCACGTTCCAGAAAATCGTCACCTTCAGGAGGTGGTAGAGGTTCTGGAGGACAGGTCAGTAGGTATGTTAGAATTCCTACCAAACAGTCAGCTGGAGTTGGTGGTTCAGGTCCAAGAAAACTTTCTATTAGACAAGGTACCAGGGGTGGCAGCAATGCTTCAGTTGGACAAGGTGCTTCAGCCTCCAGAAGACACTCGGGTATCGGTAGTGTCTGAGGTCCCGTAGAATTCTCAGATAAAAATGGTTGTGGTTCTGGTGAACACTCAAGTTCACGAGGTGGTTGATGTCCCAGTGGACATTGTAGTATTGCAGAATGTTGGACTTCCAGGGGACCCTCACATTCAGGAGGTGGTTGGGGTCCCAGTGGATACTGTATTATAGGAGGTTGTTGATCTCCCAGGGGATGCTCACTTTCAAGCGGTAGTTGAGGTTCCAGTGGACACTGTAGTATAGGAGATTGTTTAAGTTCCAGAGGATACTCAAGGTTACGAGGTAATTGCCTTTCCAGGGGACACTCGACTGGAGTATGTTGCTGAGGTTCCTTCAGAATCTCACTTGTGTGAGCTGTCTGAGATCTCAGGAAACCTTCAGCTGGAGAAGGTGTTTCAGGCTCCAGAGGATGTTCCAGTGGAGGAGGTATCAGAGCTTCTAGAGAACCTTCAGTTGCAGAGAGTGATCGAGGTCCCAGAGGACCCCGAGGTGGAGGAGGTGCCTGGCCACCCATCAATGGTCTGGAAGGGCCAGCCATGAAGTAGGGTAGGTTGGGCCATTGTGGCAGAGGACGAGGTTCCTCTTCAGCCATGTTGACCTGCAAGGCAGAGAAGGAAATGTTTTGAAATCTTTTAACATGAAAAACACCAACATGCACACAAGCTGTACCTGGTGCTGCAGGTGACGGTTCCTTGCCCCTTCCCCTCTTCAGCTTCTAAATGGGAGCATCAGTGCCATTAAGCATCTATTCCACTGAGTCCTGCTGACAGCAGGGGAGTGAAAACAAGCCATGGGGACAAATGGTTGTCCCCATGCCACTGTGTCTGTCTGCAAATGTAGGCAGGCTGAAGGCCTGTCCCACGGAAGACAGAGTCACTACACAGCAATAAAGAAGCATGTTTTTGACACGGGGCTGTCTGTGTCTATCCGCATTCTTATATAATCGGCACTGGCAATTTGTGACGGTTTCTATGGTAGAGACTCAACAATGGCCAATGCGGGTTATACTGCAAGTTGTCACGGCGGGGTATTGGAAAAGTTTTAAATTAGCCATAATCGCACCTCGGATAAACCTCATTGGCTACAGTACTGGTGCTATGCAAAGCTAAGTCCCAGCTGTTCTTAAGAAAATGTTCTGCAGGCTTTTCATGTTCTGTCGCTGATTCTCAGAACTCTGCAAGGTCCGCGTGACCACCCTGCTGCAAAGCTAAGAAAACGGAGGCTCCCAAAGGAAGGAGAACATGCACCCAGGTCACACTGCTTGCGGGAGGCAGAGTGGAAGTCAATTCCAGCTCTGCCTGCAGGACCTCTCATCCCCCCTCTGCTTCACTTCTTGACAAAGGCTCTTCTCCACTCTGGAGGTGCCACTTGTGGGCACAGAGATCTCTGGGGAGATGTGGATTCCTGAAGACCTGCAGGGGAATTGGGAGAGGGTTTTCTGACGCAACAATCCTACGTACAGATGTCAGTTTGGCACAGCTATCATATTTCTTTTAACTTCCAGGTCATAACAACTTCTAAGTGCACTATGACATAAAAAATAATATTTTTTCTCATGGAAAAATGAGGTGGTACTTCTAAACAACAGACGTTTTAAAAATGTGCTTGATTGTAGGTGTACAAGTCCCACGATGTGTGATCAGAGGACTTTGCAGCTGTCAAAACTGTAGAGGCCCATGAGAACCAGCCTCACTGAGCATCGCTGAAGGTCTTCATTGGGAATTGTCCTTGTAGGTAATGAGCGACGTTCACTCTTCACTTCCTCACAGCCAGGGCACATTCTCTGTTGCAAATGAGGAACCTCTTATACCTAGAATGTGAGATCTAGGGTGCCACTGGGTGGCAGTGGGAGCAACATTGCACAACACAGATGGGACGATGATGAATTATGGCACGGACTTTGTCCGAGAGTATTCAAAATGGCACAACGCACATACTAATTAATGTTGGATTAATGAGTTTTCACTTCCAGGATTACGGCAGATATTCTGAATGCTAATCGCCTACCTTATAGAAGATGATAAATAAAATCACAGCACAAAACAAAACCCGACATATTTTGGAAACAGGACCCCACAGTATTTGGAGTCGAATGGATCCGTCAGGATTCCCTGGGCCATGAGACCTCCAGCAGTGGAGCTCAGTGGCATTGCCTCGTGTTATTTCTGCAAACAGAACAGTGGAAGCCCTTTAGTCCTCGGCCCCTAAGCATTCATGGCTTCTGGCGGTGCCAACAAAGATGACGAGCTGGGAATGGAGAAGCCGGGAAGCTCATGGGGAAGATTTTGCTTTGAAAAAGGCCAGACGGAAAAGGCACCCAGAACCCGAGAGCAGAGGCCAAGCCAGGAGAGGGCGCTGCGGGAAAAGACTAAAGTGTCCTGTAATAGGCAGAGTGAAAAGGACTCCAACATTTACCTTTTCTTCATTTCTGATAATACAGCACAAAGGTAAAAAACATATTTTTGACCCAAAGCGCTGTTGACATCCTATTAAACAAACATGAACCTACTTAATTTTCATTCTGTAAATGGTAGATATTTTCATTATTCTTAGGGTAAGAAATCATTTCCCTGATTTGTTTTCTGTAAAATTCAATATTCATAATGAAGTTCAGAACCACGAATTGTTCTAAATAATTTCGTATTTATGGTTACAAGTTTACCTCTATAGGAAGTTAGTATACTCACACCAAGGCCAGTTATCCACAACAAAACGGCAAGGGAACAAATTCCCAGGGAGACAGCAATGATAATAAGCATCCAGGGAAGTTCAGAAAAGCCAGGCCCGGGATACAAACTTGCAAGCAGGACATCGATGACCTGGAATAATAACAGATGGAATCATGAGAGGCCCGATGACCTTTACCATATTTCAGTCACAAGGAATCATCCTTAGAAACCCTCAACCTCCTCCAAGAGGTAACCACACCCCTCAGCTATCACCAGGGGATCCCACTGCTTCAAGAAGGATTGGAAGTTAACAGTCTGATGGTTCTTGCATGGCTGGTAGTGTCTGTAAGCATTGTGAATGTGGGGTGTCTTTTCTCTTGGTCTAATGCAGGGATGTCCAATCTTTTGGCTTCCCTGGGCCATCATAAAAGAAGGAGCATTGTCTTGAACTGCACATAAAATACACTACCATGAAAAATAGCTGATAACTTAAAAAAATGGTTAAAAAAAAAACACAATGTTTTGAGAAAGTTTACCAATTTGTGTTGGGCCACATTCAAAGCTGCCCTGGGCTGTATGCGGCCTGTCACCTGTGGGTTGGACAAGCTAGGTATAAAGTAATTATCGTTGCTTTAAAGTTACTTCCTTTTTAAATTGACATACAACATTGGAAATATTTATTAGGTGTCAGCATGATAAAAGAATCCAGAATCCCTGTGAATCACACTTCTTTCTTAGATTACATCAATCTCTGCCATTTAAAGCATAAGTTGCTGTGTGCGGTGGCTCATGTCTGTAATCCCAGCACTTTGGGAGGCCAAGGCGGGGGAATCACTAGGTCAGGCGATCAAGACCATGCTGGCCAACATGGTGAAACGCTGTCTCTACTAAAAATACACAAATTAGCTGGGTGTGGTGGCACGTGCCTGTAGCCTCGGCTACTCAGGAGGCTGAGGCAGGAGAATTGCTTGAACCAGAGAATCGGAGGTTGCAATGAGCCAAGATCGTGCCACTGCACTCCAGCCTGGTGACAGAGCAAGACTTCATCTAAAATAAATAAATAAATAAGTAAAACAGCGTAAGACAAAAAAACTATAATTAAGAGATGACAGGCTGGGTGCAGTGGCTCATGCCTATACTCCCAGCATTTTGGGAGGCTGAGGCAGGTGGATCACGAGGTCAAGAGATCAAGATCATCCTAGTCAACATGGTGAAACCCCATCTCTACTAAAAATACAAAAATTAGCTGGGCATGGTGACACAGGCCTGTAGTCACAGCTACTCGGGAGGCTGAGGCAGGAGAATTGCTTGAACCCAGGAGGCGGAGTTTGTGGTGAGCCGAGATCGCGCCATTGCACTCCAGCCTGGGTAACAACAGCAAAACTCTGTCTCAAAAAGTAATAATTAAAAAATAAAATAAAATAAAGAGATGACTTCATTCAGAAATAAGTATAAAAATACCCAAGTAGGGATCATGAGCATGGCATGAATAGCTAAGACTGTTTATATTAATTCCATCAGACTCTTACGTGAATGAAGACAAAGACTTGCCCAGAGTAAGTTGAGACGGCTTCTGAGAATGTTGCTACATCGATTCCTCAGGATTGAACTGTATGCTCTTGAAAATATCTTAATTTTAAGTGTTTCTTTCAAGATGGTGAATTAAACAGATAGGTATCCAACAGGGTGGACTGAGCATTTGCAGAGTCCAAAATGGAAAGGACTGAGTTAGAGATCCGTGCAACAATGGGAGCGATTTCAGAAACGTTGTGTTGAGCAGAATCAGACAGACACCAGAGAGTACCTAGGGCATGGCATGCATCTGTAGATGTCAAATTCCAGAAGAAGCAAAGTCTACCTCTCATGAGAAAGGGATTGGCTGGGAAGAGGGAGAGTTCAGTTTCTGGGGTGACATAATACTGTAGATCTTGAAAGGGGTTGGGATATGCCGGTGTGTGTACTTCTCCAAGTTAGCAATGTTACACTTCAGATTTGTATCGTCTCTTCTTTGCAATTCTTCTTGAGCAGAAATTTTTATAAAGAAATATTGAATTCAGTTAACGTTAGCTTTGCTAAACTATTCAACAGGAAGTGTGCCGACGTCTCCAATTCATTGGAAATACATCTAAAATAAGATGGGCTGATGAATGGATAGAGTGGCGGAAAGATGGGTGGAGATGTGTTGTCATGCTCCTTAAAATGTTAACAAATCAATGCTGTATTTAAACATTGTTACAACTAAATGTTGATGGTCATTGCCAAATCACTGTGTCATGTCCGTAATTTTCCCCCTTTAGACAAGAGTTCCAAAATAATGATTATTTACATTCTATATGTTTGAACAATTTTACACACAATATCAATGGAATGTTTTTTCTGTCAGTTGGTCTCGGTGTTGCAGAATGCAAGTATATACAGGGAAAGCTTGCAGAGGCGCTGCTTTCCAGTTTTTGCTCTCATGACAAAGGCCAAATGAAAAAAACAAGACTTCTCTCTCTTTCCAAGGGAGAAGCTAGACACACTGCCATATATATGTCCATACAAAGGAATGTTACTTAGCAATAAAACAAAAAGCAAACTTAATATTTAAAGCAATATGAATCCATGTGAACATGATTCTGCTGACTTTACAGAATTCAGAACAGCAAGAATACCTCTCCTGTATGACACCATGACAGGAAAGGGCAGTGCAGGGGGAGGACAGTAGGATGGAGGAGAAGGACAGATGGATTCCAAAGGAGGAGGAGGGAACTTTGACGAGGGAGGAATGTGTTTAGTATCTTGAATCTGGAATGTGGTGCTGTTTTGACTGCTGTATCCATATGTAAAAGTCAGCAAGTCGGATTCTTTACAAAGAGGCTGTTTAATATACAGGTAGGAAGGAAACGTGATACATAAACTATTAGTTTTTAATGATCTGAACAAACATGGCAAATATATTTTAAAAATAATTATAGAACTTTACCTAGAAATTATAATTCAATTAAAAATGGAGATAAGAAAATACAAACTCACACTGGTTAGGAAGCCAAGGTCTTTTAAATATTTAGAAATTTGTGTTACATTCTTTGGAATAGATCCAAAAATATGCCAGCAATGTGTGGAAAAATGAGAAAAATATAAGAAAAAAGTCTTAAAATTATAGATGAGAATACTACCTAAATATATGTTTATCTATACAGAACTGAGAGTGGACGGCTGCTGTAATAAGAACACCCAGGTTATATTCCAACAACAATAAACACAGATTGTTCTTTAGCCCAAACTTCTAGATCACTTGAGTCCAGGATGTTCACCACTGCTGAAACGGGCACTTCATGTCAGATTTTCCAAGTCCAGAAAGACTTGCATCACATAATCCTCTTGGAATTGTGATTGAAACTGTGAGAATTGAGGTCAGTTAAAAACACAATGCCAAGTAACCGCCAGCAAGAGTTCACCTTCGTATTTTGGAGCGTTGAGCATAAAGCACTCAGGAGCAACCTTGGAAATCCACGTGGAAAGCAACACAAACTTTCTGGAACGTAGGCCACCACTACACTAGGCACACATAGTGTTTACAAACACTGGATTTACAAGCATTGGAGGAAAAAATAAATTCAAAGTGCCATTCAGACCAATCCACATACCAAGACTCAGTTTTGTGCAAATGAAACCTCTCTAGACAGCAGCCTGTGAGCTCTGTGGCACTTTTGTCTTCAGCCTCACAGTGGAAGTGACTGCAGCCTGGCTCCTGGGAGGGACGCACTGTCCCTGAGGAGCCTCCTTCTGAAAGTGAGCAGGAGCTCTGGGCACAGTGGTGACAGATGTGGATCAAATGCACAAAAGAACAAAGGCCATCTTGTCATTGACCAGGAAAACATCCCCGTCCTGGGCACTGTTGTCACATCTGACAACTATCTGGATGCAGGTTACCGGCAGTGGGCTCCTACCCAGATTAGGTCCCATGGGCCAGGAAGAGCTTAGGTTCTGACAGTTGATGGCCATGAGCAAGGGTGGAGGTGGAAAATGCAATGAGAAAAAATTATCCAAGTCTTCAAAGGTGAGGTAGGGAACGAGGGTTTAACTGATCTATAAAAATGCAGCCAGGTAAAGGGAAACAAACTCCAACAACGATTAGCAAGACATTTCCTCCTTCATAGACTCAAAAGAGTCAGGAGACTCTTCTTTGGAGGATTCCTGTGGGGCGATCCTGCCGCCATGCAGTGGCTGCTCCCCATCACTGGAATTTCCAGATCCCTCTCTGAGAATCTGTGCATGCAGCTTAGAACAAATACTCTGGAGTCTAGCAGGGGCCGGGCCCTCTCCTGAGTGTGGTGGAGAGGTGTTTTAATGTGAGGGTGAAACCACTCCAAATAGCAACCTGTGATTCTTTCTATTTGGACAGTCAGAAGGGCTTTAAGACCCTTTCTGCTTTGGGTAAATCAATGATCTGCACAAGACACATTTGCCAGAACAAAGGACAATACAGTCGTTGTTCACATCCTGGTCATGTCACTCCTGGTGACTTCCGCCTTGCAAACACCCCAGCAGGGGGCAACCCTTTTCTGTCTCATCTGATGGGCTTCTGGGGCTCCCATCACTCTGATTGGACACTGACTCCCTGGAGGCAGCTCCCAAGCGCAGAAGACACGGATGACTCAGAAGTTCCTAGAAAGTCATCAAACCAGATGACACAGAACCCAAACGACATTTCACTTTGTTTTGTTTGAGTCAAGGTCTCACTCTGTCGCTGAGGCTGGAGTGCAGTGGGGTGATCTCGGCTGACTTCCCCCTCCACCTCCTGGGCCCATGCGATCCTCCCACCTCAGCCTCTCCAGTAGCTGGGACTACAGGCCCACGCTGCCAGGTCTCACTCTTTTTTTTTTTTTTTTTTGCAGTGATGGGGTTTCACTCTGTCCCAGGCTGGTCTGGAATTCCTGGACTCAAGTGATCTGCCCACCTCGGCCCCCAAAGTACTGGATGGTAGGTGCGACTGTGTCATTTCAGCCCCGTAACACATCCCAAAGAAAAGGAAGGGACCCGCGGGTCCAGTGTCTCCTACCTGAGTGCATTGATGGCTGGGAAACCCCAGCACGAGGAGCCAAAAGAGCAACCACCGCAGCCACATGTCCTGGTCCTCTCAGGGCGCCATGAGGCGGCCAGGACAGAGGTGGGGGTGGCTTAGGGCTGTGGGAGGGAAGGGGAGAAGGATGGGGGATGGGGGACGGAAGGGGAAAGGATGGGGGTGGGGGAGAGGGAGGGAGGAAAAAGGGAGCTGGGGGAGGGAGGGGAGGAGATGGAGTGAGGGGAGGGAAGGGGGTTGTTGGGCACCTGGAGCAGGAGGAGGAGGAGAAAGGGGTCTGGGAAAGGATGGGGTTCAAACGAAGTCCTCAAGCGTGGGTGGGAGATTCAGCTACAGGTCAGAGGGAAAGTCGATCAGCGAAGCAGCAGGACGCGTGGGTTGAGGCAGCGGGAGGCTCAGGAGTGGTTGGAGGGAGACCAGGGCTCTGGTGTCCACCAAAGTTGCTCCTGTCTGGGCGTTGCCTTAGCAACCCTGGGCCTTTGTACTCCCCCTCCACCAATCCCCCGCCCCGGTGGCTGTTACCTCACAGTGGACGTTCCACGAGGTGCCCATAATCTGACAACGCCCGTCCCCCACCTGGGGGGGGGGCAACATGGGGGCCTCATCTCTATACAATGTGACAAGTTAGCCAGGCATGGTGGCCTGCAGCCCTGGTCCCAGCTACTCAGAAGGCTGAGGTGGGAGGATTGTGTCAACCTCAGAAAGCAAGACCCTGCTTGAAATAAAAGAAATTAAGTAAAACACAAATACAAAGAAAAATATTCTTTATTCACAAATTGGTAGAATTAATATTGTGAAAATGTCTATCTTACATAAAGTGATCTACAGATTTAATTTAACATCCCTATCAAACTACCAATGACATTCTCCACATTCAAAAGGAACATCCCAGTTCATCCTGTTCCCATAAAAGAAAACCCTCTATAGTCAAAATAATTAAAAAAAAAAAAAAACAAAGCTGAAGGCATCACAGAGCCTGCCTTTGAAATATACTACAAAGCCATAATAAGCAAAAGTGTATGGTACTGGCATAAAAATAGACACATAGGCCAAAAGAGCAGAATAGAGAGCCTGGAAATAAATCCACACATTCCAGCTAACTGAGGTGACAAAACATATAATGGATAAAGAACAAACTCTTTAATACATGGTGTTGATGCTTTTACTATTCAAACTAATGTTATACTCACCATACTGTGTTAGGACTTACTACTGTCTTGTGCTAATACTTAGTACTATCTTTTACTAGTACTAACCATATTGTGTTAGGACCTAATAGCTTTTACAAATAAATCCAGACAGTGCTAACTGACCAGTGGAATCTTCTGGCCTGCAGACAGTGAACGCCTCTTGTGCCAATTAAGGATGATCCAAATGGTGTATTCATGGCTATAAATGGCCTCAGAGGCTCCAGTTAAGAGTAAGTTCTCACCACGTTAGAAAATTCCAAACCTCTCAGAACCTGCAAAGCACTATGTGGCATGATGGGCGGGATAACAGTGAGAAAGTTGTAGCCGGAAGACACGCAGTGAGGACTGTGATGCAGAGCAGAGTTAGGATGAACACAAAGAGGCAGCAGAAGACTGCAGATTATTGGAAAAGTGAACAAGAGGAATTCCGCTTCACACGTTTGGAAAGAGCCAGTTGTGAAGCCTGGGAACAGATGTCCTCTCTCCACTGCAAAATCAATACCGTTTCTTCACCATGGATGCTTTCAGTCTCTAACTTGGAGACACAAACTCACTTCAACAGAATTATTTACTCCTAATTACAAAGGGTGCTATTCACCTAGCACTATATTTGTTTACTTCATTTATGTATCAAAACAACCCAGTAACTTAGGAAGCATCTCCAGTGTCTACCTGAACAAATTGGCCTAATAAAATAAATAAAGCCAACAATATCAATTACAAAAAGTAAAAGAATAATAACTAAGGAAAAATGGGCTTAAAATAGGTTCTCCAATTGAAAGAACTAAGTCAAATGTACTAGTTAAATAAAATATAACTTAACACCCTCATTGTGAAGATACTAACATCTGAGAATTACTAGGGGAGCACCACTAAGTTTTATGGAAATTCTCCTTCTCACCACGGGGCAGGTCATGGAAATATGACTGCATGAACAATGGGAGGGGACATTATGTGTGAGGTCCAGCATGAATAACAGGCAAGTAAAAACAGGATTTGCATGAGGAGATTCTGAACCAGGAGCCAGAATGTTATACAGAAATGAATTCAGCACAAAGGAGAGATTGAGATTTCCTTCAAAATCTATGAGGTTTGTAGTTTTCTAGTAAATTATCAAGACTATTAAAGTGATCTGTTTGAATCCAGTCTTGCTATTTTCTTTGTCATGTGTACTTTCAAAACAGGTGGACACCCGCACTCACACAAACGCAATGACGTGCTCCGTCATTCTCTTAACCCTGAAGTTTATCTCCATTGCGTTTGGTTCTTGTTTTCTTAGACAAGGGCATGGTTTGCTGCCCTGGCTGGAGTGCAGTGGCATGAACATAGCTCACTGTGGCCTTCATCTCCCAGGCTCACGTGGTCGGTCCTTCCACCTCAGCCTCCCAAGTAGCTCGACTGAAAGTGTGCACCACCACTCCCAGCTAATTAAAAAAATCTGTAGTAGAGACAGGTGTCACTCACTATGTTGCCCAGGCTGGTCCGAAACTTTTCAGCTGAAGCAACCCTCCCAAGTGCTGGGATTACAGCTGTGCGCCACCATGCCCAGGTTAGTTTATTTTTACAGTTATATATTTGTATATTTACCTCCATGTAAATCACAACGTAAACTCTCTATGTGTTTTGCAGGGCAGGGGGTTGTACATCCAAGAAAAATTACAGGAAAAAATTTCAAATTACTCAGAAATATATGTATTTTATTTATACTTCTGTATAATCTTTATTATAACGATAATGACTCTGTAGTTACAAAGAAAACTATAAAAAACTATGAGAACCATATTCTTCCAGTTACTTGCAGTTAAAAAGTCACTGGGAATGAAGGTCGCTGAAGATGTCACTCCACTCTGCCATCTGACAGTAGATTGCTGCCGTCTGTTATCGACACCATTGAGATGGGATTGATTCTTGGTAGGATAACACTTTATTCCATGAGCACCAGACCTAACACATTTAACACAATTGTGTTCAATTAAAAACAAATTAATTCACAAAGAATCTTAAAAAGCATTTCAAAACTTGCGCTATATTATCATAATGAAATACTGCTAAAACCAATGATTTATAAAATTCAAAATGATTCTCTCTTCTTATAATGCAGAAGAATATTAAACAATTAACTCATGAATCACTTACAGGTATATACGACAGCGACAAAGAGCCTTTCTAGCAAGATTTACTCACGCATCTTACATTTCAGCATCTTTCACCTTTCATGGAAAAGTGTATCAGCGATGCACACTTAATATAAAATAACTTCTCATATCTCTGATGCAGCAACCATTAAAAATGTGTTTTCACATCAGCGCTAGAAATACAGATATAGCATCAATTGATTTGAAAGCTGAATTACATCAATATTGGCTTTTCAAACTATTTAACATTTTTTCAATACAAAAAATTGTATCTTGAATGCACTTATAATGCTACAAAAAAATCAATCTCATCCTTCTTTTAAACCTGAATGTGAATGAATGATCTATTTCAAGTCCAGATTACTCTGTAGATGCAACGCTGATTCAGCGTCATGTCCGAACCTGTCCGTGCCCTGTTCCTTTCTCTTTCCCTAATGTTTACTTAGACTTGATTTTGCTTATTTTTCCCATTTACTGCCTTTGGAAAATATCTTTTGGTATGAACCCTGGTGTTTTCTAAGCTATAGTTTCTGAACTAATGTTCTTCCACGCTTATGACATTTGAAGGGTTTCTCTCCAATACAAATTCTCTGAATTTGAATAAAGTTTAAGCAGCTGATGTAAGGCTTCCATCTAGTATAAAACATATTTCTAATTTTTTTTCAGAAGAAATACTCTTTAGTGCTCTGGAAACTTATTTCATGAAAGGTCTTTCAACAGTCATAATACTCATCATAACCTGATGAAGGACGAACTCTGATGTAAAGCAAGATGTGAGCAGTTACTACAGGCTTTCCCTAGTTTTGCATTTGTTTATTTTTTCTCAAATATGAGTGCTTTCATGTACAGTCAGGTGTGAGAACTGGGTAAAGGCTTTGTCACAATTTTCACACTTGTAGGATTTCTCTGCAGCATGAATTCTCTGATGTACAATAAGATTTGAGGACTGGGTAAAGTTTTTTCCACATTCGTCACATTTGTAAGGATTCTCTCCAGTATGGGTTTTCATAGGTTTAGTGAGGTCTGATGACTGCTTAAAGATGGTGCTATATTCTTCACATATGTAGGGTTTTTCTTCAGAATGAGTTTAAAATTTAAAAATAAAAGCTAATTTAAAAATAAAAAGCCATAAAGGATGATTGTAATGATTTCAACCTTCTGCTGGTTCACTCCATGCAGTTAACTCCTGTTATTCTCAATATTCCATCAACAACCTTCATGAATACATCAACTTTCCATGAGAGTTCTAGAGATTTTTCTCTTTATTTCAATGGCACAATCTCTAATATTATCAGAAATTCGTATTTCAGAGTACTCCTCAGAGTTCTCAAGCTGATTATAAACCGCCGTATAAACAGACCAAAGTAAAACCACGATTGTGAATAACAAAGTCTTAGAACAGTCATGGCTAAAAACACAATTTACAAGGAAATTTGATTACTTCTGTGACATACAATTTGACATAATAATCATAATTACTCTTGATAACATATACTAAGATATATCAGAATCACAGCATTCTCATATAATTTTGGAACACATGCTAATAACACATTTATATGAATATAATCCAAAGAAGGTTAAACACCATTTCATATGTGACGATGCTTCCTGTATGATTTTATCATACCAAATCAGCAAAATATGTCTCTTTTGGACTTCAGGGGACATAATCTCAAAAAATTAAAAGATCAAAAGGATTAAATTTAGAACTTGATTTTGGAAAGTTTGTCAAATTTTAAAAAGTTTGTCAAATAAAAAAGAAGTTTAAAACACTTGATCTCATAAATGGTATCACAGGTCATTGTAAAGTAAGTCATTCAGGGTCGGGCGCGGTGGCTCACGCCTGTAATCCCAGCACTTTGGAAGGCCGAGGAGGGTGGATCACGAGGTCAAGAGATCGATCCATCCTGGTCAGCATGGTGAAACCCCGTCTCTACTAAAAATACAAAAAAATTAGCTGGGCATAGTGGCCCTTGCCTGTAATCCCAGCTGCTCAGGAGGCTGAGGCAGGAGAATGGCTTGAACCCAGGAGGCGGAGGTTGCGGTGAGCCGGGATCCCGCCATTGCACTCCAGCCGTGGGTAAGAGAGGGAAACTCCGTCTCAAAAAAA